TTTTTTTTCGCTTAAAACGCTCCGTATTTGCTCTATTCCACTACACTCCGTATAAGCTCTGCAGAAACAAATGCCAGATGTTCACTATTGACCGCTCTCTGCAGACTTGAACTTTCACTACGCCTGCAAAAACACCGGTCCGTTACCGTAAGATGGACTCCAAATAGAATCATCTGACATTTTTGTAAACTTTTGAAAGTATATTAAATCAGACTTGAAATGTGCAAATGGCAACTCATGACCTTATTGAGACCAATATAGAAATAAAAAAGAAAGTGCATTCATGTGCAAAACTGCAAAACTTAAGGGCAAAACTAAGTCTTGTTGGACAGGTCAATACACTACCTCCGTAAAACTTGGAGCCTGAATTGAAGGAACTGCTACGGTATAGAGCAGAATGAACACCTTCACACTCCTTTCTGTCACCGCTTTACCAAACTGCTAAGATACTTTATCTATACCTTCCTAATGAAGCTTGCAGACCTAAGTATTCTTTTCCTGGACCAACCTTTGAAGAGGCTCAGAGCAACACTAATGAGGATAAAGAGACCAGGAAAAGCCATAGGAAAAGGAAAAGCCATGCTCACAGCAGATCTTTTATTCGTCATCAGCAGAAGCGATTTGACTTCACTTTTATACGATGAGTTTAGTAAATCTAGTGCACCACGCGAATCTGTTACCAACAAGTTGGCCTGATTCACTTCACATCAGCCTCCTGTGGCCGATCTGTGGGTTTCAGAAAAAAACCGCCTGATGTATATGCTCCTAGTCAACAGCTATTACTTCGCTGTATCTCCTGTAGTTAATATATTTCTCAGGCCACTTCCTCTGTGGCCGATCAATTCTCAGTCCTACATATTTCAACGTCCAAATAAGGATCATCCGTTACTATTGGCCCATATCCGACTATTCCAACAATACAGTGTAGCCGCGATAGTGTTGAAGCGGCTCTGCTATGCCAACAAACGAAAACGATTGGTCAGCCGACGTCGATGATCGCCGAGAGAATCGCATTGCTTTCTGCAAACACGCGTGAACACACACGACTTGTGGCCACTGTCATTGAAGAACGACGCGACTAAGAGAGGAAAAAACGCACTTATACCATCTCTACACGTACAGCAAACGCACGCACCAACAATGTCCATCGACTAGCTAGCCAGCCAGATCTGCACCGTTTTGCAAGCTCTGCTGTTGTAATAGGGACCGATCTTTTGAAAAAATGATACATTAGCGTAAATAAATGAAAAACCCATATTCTTGCAGTGTTTGTGACCACAGGTGCTAGTGATCTGCCCAATCTCCCAACAATGACGTATAGCGCTTCACCGTGGATTGCCAGCAGTGTTTCTTGCATAGTAACGAGTGAACGGAGAACGGTGCTTCCAATCTATAATCATTTGAAAGGCTATGCAAATCTGGCTTACAGCCAATACCTTCACAATCTACCAGTAACCACTGCCCTTCCATCAAATGACCGGGGTGAAAATGATTCCTTTACCTTTAAAACCTTCAAATTCGCTCTGTTATAAACAATGAAATTTTTGAATACTGGCATTTATCAGAAACAGTCATCAATCTTACAGTAACCCTAAAAACGACGAGAACCATTCTTCTATGAACTGATCAAGACCTTTTCGAGTTTACCTTCATCACCATCAACAAAACGAAGGCGCATACTTTTCAAACTCCAGTCTGTCGAGATCAGCCTGCTTACTTAATTTCTCATTTAGCCCAGTACCACGCCATCACTAACACAATATGCTACCTTACACCCTAGAATTACTATATAACTACAATTACTCCATTACTCGTCGACTTATTACCATTTATTGAAGTGCAGCGGCAAGCGGCGCTCTAATGCTCACAAAACTCATGAATCTATGTTAATTGCCTGAGCCATTCCTCATGCCTTTCCATTTGAGGACGTTTAACTGGTACTAAACTTCTACAGAAAAGCAAAATGCTGACTTGTACGTTTCTTTCTCAATTTTACACAGTACTGAGATTTCGCACAGTATAATTCAAAGCAATGCTCATGGTGAAAGTATACGTGGGAATCCGCAACGTACTCGGAGATTCCTGATCGATAATATAGCGCAAACATGCTCGCATTGAGCGAGGCATCATCCATCTCATCGATGAACTTCATCGACTGAGATTGGTTCAGTAATTCCAAGGGATCGCTTCTTTGGCCGTTCTCAATATCAACAGTAGATCCTCTTCATATCTTTTTTTCCACGGAACCCTTACGGGTTTCCAGATTCATTTTTCTGCAAAGAACTCCCTTTGAAACAGCCCTGCCGCAAGAAAGCAATAGATGCAGAGAAGCTCAGGGTACTGCTAGAAGACCGCCAATGCGACTCTGGAAAAGCCTACAAATCACTATTCACCACCTTAACCCCGTATATCCCAAAGTTCATAGAGCATTCCTATAACTGGATATTCTCGCCTCCGGACATCTTATACGCGCATGCATAAGTAATCGAAGCATATTAATATTGTGGTAGTCAAGAAAGAATCAACCTGTGTCCGAACCCCCCAGAGTGCATCGTGAGCAAACAGATTGTATAAGCATAACTTTACAGCGACGAAAACGCGATCGTCTCTGCAAAAGCTTGTTTTTACTACTAGTAACAAAAACTCAGCATTCCTCAAGAACTTTGTTGGACTTGAAGGATTCTGTCTAACGGGAAGCGTCTGCGATCAGCAAATTGCTAGCGAACGTAATCGCAAACGATTCACATCCAAGACTCATTGTGGAATTCAACAAAGATTCGAGTCTACGGTACTTGATAACAGTTAGTTTTGTAAAAATGAAAAAAAGTAAATAAAAGAGGAAATCAAAAACAAAGCTGATGGCATCGAAGCTGTGTTATCGTCTACAAATAGACATTAAAAACACGGATGACTTATGAAAAGAGGTAAAACAAGTAGGTAAACGTGAAACTCACGCGTCAATGATTAGCAACCTGTACGGCGCCCAATCGCTGCACACTGGACACCGCCATGTTGCACGTTTTTCGTTCATTTGCAGATAGTTGTATAAGTCAAAACATTGCAGATGAGGGCATTTCTTGCACCGGGCTGGTAGTGTGATTCGCTTTCGTGACAGCTGAAATTGAAACTAAACTAATTATTAGCAGTACACTAAAAAGACGATCAAGTCTCTTCCAAAAACTTCCCCTTTGTAGAAGTTCAGTACGGTACTCTCTTTTAGAATCGTTGAGCATAGGTTCCCCACCCCTAGCCCGTCAAAATACTGAAAAGCAGTTGATGTAGAGTTTTCTGCTAGCATAAATTTCTCAATAAAAAGTCGAATTCTAGCAGTAAGCTTACACCAACCGTTTTTCAGTCTTTTGATTAACTACAACAGCAATTACTGGTTGTACGTATCAACTTTGCAACAGTTAATATAGTACATTTAGCTCTTTCTGGCCCTCAGCGCAAGAGAGATAATCCAAATCTAACATCTTGAAATCAGATCAGCTATCTCAGTCAATCAATAAAGGTATTTCAACTTCCAATATTTTTGATTTTTGCGATTTGAGCTCTCACATGACTCATACCATATTTTCAACATCGACTGAAGGGTCACCCATCTATAATACATTACAAAAACTCCAACGCATTTGACATGCTCCATCGTATCAACGACAACAAAACTTCTCCAACAGAAAAACCGGTACTGATATCACCATCATGGACGGCTAGGCGTCATTGTCACATGATTGACTGTTATTTTACCCACACTCGTGACAAAAATAGCGCTACGTTCGCTATAATGGGGAACAGACAGAAATACACCATGGGGATGGAAATTCAACTTTAACATGCTTAACCAATTTCTCTGGGTAACAAACACCAGTAACCACTCTTATTAGGAGCGGACCCAAATTCAGCAATCTCACCTTCTCGGGAACTCCCATCTACAGATTTTCTGGCATGGATCGGTTTCACTTCTTTTTCATTACTGGCCTAATTGTTTCCGCTGTAGAATTACCACTTTTTTCGGCGTGTGACATGGTGCCTATGACTTATTACTTCTAAATGAGGTCCAAGTTTAGCCTAGGTTCATTTCCATGCGTGAAACTGGACCTCAATTTCTGAGCAGTGGAAGTTGTCTTTTATGATAGAATCATATGCACTATCGAACACTACCGCATCTCTCTCTGGCTCTAACGCTATCATAACGAAACCCAGTAGGCAAGCGATTGAGTGAGATCATGGCTTCGATCTATTAATTATAATACTAGGTCACTAAAAATTTACTAGAATTCTCAACTAAGCAGAACTGGCAAAAGGTTCCACTTATTGCGAAATGAAACTTAACAACAGCGAGTGGGCCACTGATGTGAGCTCGTATTCACACAATCCGCCAGTTTTGATGCATATAAAGAGGATCTCCTTCATTAAAAACAATTGAGAGAGAAGACTGTCTAGCATTCTTTCAACGCCAAGCGACTTCTCAAGGTCTTGAGGTTGATCGCTCACTGCTCCTACAGTTGATAAATGGTCTTGTTATTTTTCCAAATACGGATAGAAGAGAAAAGTACAGGTGTGTCGCGTTCAAGGTTAACCAAATTGCTAAAAATGCAAGCCTAGAGATAACGGCTCCACGGAGTAAGTTGAAAAAAGTCAATTCTAGGCAATCCAAAAGACACTGATGGATAACCGACACTGGACTTCAGTGCTACCATGAGCAAAATCGGAAAAGTCGTCACGAATCATGAGAAACTCCATGAAGCACAGCCCATGAGGTCGGTCGTTATGACGAATCAAAATTGAGCCAGTAATTTGTATTTATCGAACACTACTTTGTGTAGTGTATGCAGAAGTTCCTAGAAATTGTCTCGAGTGAAGAAAAACCTTTTAGGGCAGGTTTCAGTTGCTTTTATTACTCCCATCTTTCCATGGAATGGATCAAGTTACAGATTCTGAAACGCCAGTTTGAATCAATCTAAAACAGATCGATTCTGTTCTGATCAGCCTATGGTGATTCATAAATCATGATAGACCAAACTGCTGAGCCATTACTCAACACAACAAAATACCCAATTCATCAGCAATACCAGTCATAGATTACTCTTTACACTACCTTCTCCAAAGTCATCATAAGACAGACGTGCGCCACAGCTATAACCAAGGAATACTCATTATTCACTGCTTTTCTCACCTTTCGTTGTAATAATCTGTTAAAAAAAGTAGATCGATTGAGGGACCCATCAAAACACCGCTCCAAGAGAGAATATCCATCGTAGCCCATCATATGTTACATATCCACAACCTCAACCTGTTGTCT